TCTTCCTTTCTCAAAAAAGGGTCAAAACCCTAAACAACTCTCTGATTCAATTGTTTCTCGCGCATATTATTTTTTATTCCAATTATGTAATTGCTCTGAGGATGTAATAGCTTTAATTAGGACTTTTTATCGCTTTTATTTAATTTCCCGCAATTTACTTTTTCAAGGGTTTGTTTTTGGCGATGTAAATACCCGGCGCCTTGTAATAGCTTAGTCTTCTTTTCCGCAACTATTAACTGCTAGATGTATGTTAACTAGGTTATGCATGACAAGACTTCTCTTAAAATAAAATCAATCATAGCTCACCATGACATGTAAAGATAACATAACTGAAACCTGACACACTCGCACATGCCACTCCTAGGGTACGCCTCACTTGGTTGCCTCGACGTGGTCATTGAGTATAAGGTGTTTTAGAGGTCGCCCTCCTGTCTAAAGATCACAGTTGCCTCGAAACGGTTGCCTCGATAAAAAATGATCTAGGACATTAGGGTTACAGCTAAGGCGTCCTACCATTGCTTTAGTGACCACATGTCCCTAAAATCGAATTGACCCAAAAACTCCAACGACGGTGCTACCTACTTCTCAATAGTGGGATAGTACTGTCTAAAGGACATTTACACAGCTTAATTTCTTTTGAGTAGGTAGAGGTTCTTAGATACTTGCTCTTTCAAAACAAAAATACTTTTCGCACCTACACTTTTTCAAACAAAGTTTTCAAACAAACACTTCATACACTCTTGAGGACAGACACAAGAGTTAAATCGAAGTTTTCAAACAAAACTCTTTTCAAAACCCACAAACACAAGAAAAGCAAAACATTTTGAAAACATAGTGAGCAAGTATCTAAGAGCCCGTGGATAACCACGGACAGAAAGGGTGCTAACACCTTCCCTTTCTATAATCTACCTCCCGAACCCGAGAAACATCTCGAAAAGGAATTTTGCTGTGCTTTTGTCCTTTCCTTGTTGGAGAAAATAAAAGACGGTGGCGACTCTTGCTTACCGCGACATTTTGCGAAACGCAAACGCGAACCAGCATTCCAAAATAGTCAGTTCTATTTCCACCGATCACAATGTCAAAAAAAAATTTTGTTGTACCCCAAAATTTTCCCTCTCATATTTCTCAAGACATTGCAAGAAAAGTCTCCAAGTATCTCAAGATTGCTCAAGAGTTGGACAGTCAAGCTATCTCCTAAGGCAGTCAACCCCAAATTAGGGTTTTGTGTTGCATCAAGATTCTTGAGTCCAAATGAACTCAAGTGTTCCTTAATGTCCTAATATGTTATCAATGTCATCCATGTCAAATTTCAAGCCTTACAGAGGAAGTTTGGTCAGCCAATTGCTCAAAGGATCCAAAAATCGACTATGCTAGGGCAAAAGTCAACTGTGACCTACAAACAGTCAAACTTCAATATTTTTCGTCAACATTCTCATTTTGAAGGACATTTCATCATTTGATAAAGGGTTGATCATGATTCATCAAGGATTGCTCAAAATTCATCAAGATTCAAAAGTTGCTAAATTAGGGTTTTGCAGGAAAAGTCAACTCAACTTTGAACAAACATAACTTTCTCATACTTTATGATAAATGACTCATCCAAAGCTCATTTTTAAGAGGATGCAATTTCCTAAAATCTATCTTCATACCCCAAGATCAGAAAATGCACTCACAAGAAGTTATAAATTTGGACATTATAGGTCATTTTTGAAAGTCAACAAAAACACCTTTTTTCCAAAGCTTATAACTTGAGAATGGAATATCAAAATATGATGAGACCAAAAGGGTTGGTTATAGGATATCTCAAGCTTTCTAGAAAGTCCAAGAACACCTCCAAACGTTAAATATTGAAGAAGTTATGCATTGTTGAAGTTGGACATTTTTGCAAAATTGCCAAAAGCCAACTATCCCCAAAACTTCAAATTTTGTCAAATGGGCCCATTCTTTTCCACTTGATTTGGGCTTGCATCATTGCCCACGTGTCCTAGCTTCAGCCATGAGCCCATATCTTATTTTTATTATTTAATTTTATTTTTAATTGAATTTATTCACTTTAAATCAAATAAAATCATATAAAATCAAAAGTATTTATAAATCATGATTTTTTGGTTGATTTAGGCTTTGAATACAGCTATTATGTGAGTCAAATTCGCATCAAGTGCATTGGTTACAAGAAGATATGATTTAGGCCAAATTTGGAAGGTTGTAATGGTGAAATCAAATCCAATTCATGAGCATTGATATGGAGAGATTTGTACCAAGTTTCTTACCCTAATGCAATATACATTACATAAGGAAGGCAAAGGCACAAAAATATGGGTTGGAGGCTGCAAGAAGAGGCAGAACAAAAGTTTGAAAAAGTGGTAAAAAACTTGAATTTGAAATCATAACAAGAGGCATTTTCAGGACTTGGCAAGCATCCCAAACGATTCCTGGAAGTTCACTGAAGTGAAACCAATCCAAAGCAGGCTTCCATACACGCCCAAACGCGCTATAAGCATCACGTTACCTAGCTCTGTACTTGAAATCATAACTATCTATTCTTGCATCATTTGAACAAATCTTTGACATATTTGTGATCCTCATAACATTTCTAAGCTTTTGGCATAATTTAATTTTATTTATCTGACCTATACTGCAAAATGCCAAAGCTAGGTTTTCGTGGATATTTTTGGGTGTTTTCGTTTCATGAAAAATTGGCTATCAAGAAGGTTATGGTTGTGACCGGGATGATGAGACGGGCACAACCATGCCCTTAGAATTCATTTTCATGGCTTACAGAGATTTTAGGAATGTGCATGACTTATAGCGATGGTCTCTGTTTGTTGGTATAAGTCTGGAATGTTTTAGCCATGAACGTGAGGTAGAAGACGAAGACGTGTCACACCACCAATGGCCAAATTCAAAACCACGCGCGTTTTTATTGTTTGCTGGCACTAACTTTTGTTTTCATATAATATATAATATTTCTAATGTATTAACAAAGAGAATAAAGTGGCTTAGTGGTAAGCGTACACGCCAATATCCATCAGGACCTAGGTTCGAATCCCAGGTCCCCCAAATTCCATTTGTTTTTTTCTTTTCAGGCAATCTTGTACATGTCCAAGGCTACAACATACCAAGCAGTGGCCAAGATCTGATGGTCTACCATAGACCAAGTCAACACGCGCCTACTGGATCTCAAAAGTCAACAAGGCCAGATCCAAATGGGCCTCAGCATTGCTATATGCACCACAAAATTCAGGCCACACCCCTTTTCTCTTATTCACTTATTTTTGTTTTAATTATTTGTTTTGTTATTTTATTTAACTAACTAACCAATTGAAAAATTCTTTTCTTTTATAAAACAAAACCACAAAACATTTTCTTTATCAAATTAAATTCTAACTTTTATTTTTGTTAATAAACATTAATTAATTGATTTAGAATTTTAATAAGAATAACTTTCGCATTTTTGTAAATAATTACACTAGTGCAGAAATGACTTTTTACATCGGGTGAAATTGACTTTTTACATCGGTTCTGGGTCCGATGTAAAGTCAGGCGATATAGTAAATCAGGGACTTTTTACATCGGTTCTGGGACCGATGTAAAAAGTCCCTTTTTTACATCGGTTATAATATCATAACCGATGTAATAACCTGTTATTATGCACATTTTTTAAAAAATTGATCCAGTTTTTTACATCGGTTGGAAGTAATACCCGATGTAAAAAGTCCCTTTTTTACATCGGTTATAATATATGAACCGATGTAAGAAACAGTTATTATGCACATTTTTTTTAAAAATTGATCCAGTTTTTTACATCGGTTGGAAGTAATACCCGATGTAAAAAGTCCCCAGTGACTCGACTTTTTACATCGGTTATTATCCCCAACCGATGTAAAAAGTCCCTTTTTGAAAGTTTTTACATCAGTTTTTACTAATAACCGATGTAAAATGTATGAAATTTTTTTGGAATAGATTATTTATTTTCTGGATGTTTCCCTGTACAAATATAATTTGTACCCATTTTTTCATATTTTTCCAATATCACACAGACTATATTTATGTCGCTATATAGATTTCATAGCTTTCCAACATCACATATATCACATCTAGGTCGATGTTTTCATATTTTTCACAACAAACTTACAAATTGAACAATTGTATTGCAAACTTGTATTGTATTACAACAAACAAACTTACAATTACAAATTCTTCACAAAATATACAACAATATTCAACTATTTATAAGTCTTTTTTCAAAACTTACAATTACATATTATTCACAAAATATACAAAAATATTCAACTATTTATAAGTTTCCAAACTTAAATTACCAATATAAAATCTTCGGTAGACAACACCAAAATCACATTGCCTGACAATAAATAATAACAATTAACATCAGCAAAAAAATCAAGAAACTCAATAAATGTGCAAAAACCATATGTATTGTGCAAAAACCACAACTTATACAAGGCAGTCGAAGAGGAAGACCGGAAACGTCGGTCGAAACCAAATGCTGGAGTCATCAATTTGATATGAAGAGTTTTTACAAATGAAACAAGTGCTAAATATTGGAGCAAGGAGAATCTGCCTAACAATTAGTACAATTAGACTTAAGAGTGTGCTCTACTAGCTTCCCTACCTAAATTCCATGGTCTGCCACCGAAAGGATCGATCATTCACAAATCATGCCAGCTTGAGGACGGTTAGTTTTTCGGTATTAATGATAAAAACCCCAAGTTTGCAATTCATTCACCTGCCATTATCTTTGAATATGTTTTGAGATGAAAACACTTCTTAGTTCATATTTGATCCACTCTTCTGTCGCAGAGAATACACACCGAGAACCACAACTAGTTCTTTTTAGTCAATTTACATCCCTAACTAACACCTGTAGAACCAAACAAATTGCAAGTACAACTGTAAGTAGTGGTAATTCAAAGTGTAATGAAGAAAACCCTTCACGAATGTGCTTTACAATAGCTAACGTGTTCACGAACCTTAGCCAATCATTTAACCACTTTTCCAGCCAAAGCTTTGTGACTATCTATCAGTATTTCATTCATTTGTGCAATCTGGTGCAAAAGTTGGGCAATTTTCTGTAAATAAAACAATCAGAGTCAGCAAACAAACACCAGAGAAATAGAGGACAGTCAAGAATCTCCAAAAAGAAAAAGGCTTCAAGTGAGTGAATGAATAAACAAAAATTAGAGAAAGACAAACATGATTGTATTTGTAGAGGTCAATGAACTAATAGAAACTAAGACAGATAAGCGTGATCAAAATATTGGATCTTCTATTTGTGCACACTGCAAAAATGCAAACTACGGACTCAATCTAGAGAAGAATGTAGCCGAGCAGAATAAAACAAAATATTAAACAAGACAAGAAAACAAAATATTAAACAAGACAAGGTTATCATGCGCAGAGAAGTCAATAGCAGCGCTATCCACTATAGCAGAGCAGAGGCTGGCCTCTACGGAAAGAGTCTTAGCAATGAAAAACACTATAGTGGCCGCTATAGGGAAAAACACTTATATAATAAGAAGTATTAATAGAATCTTGAAACAAGTATAATTTTTGAAACAAGTAGCTTGTTGCATTAGTTAAAGTTACTAAGTTTAGTATCTATAAACATGTATAACTTTATCTTAAGGAAGAACCATAGAAATTTAAACTATCGTATACTAGCCAACTGCATAATATAGATATGTAATGTAACATAGCATAAATGCATAAAAATGCTGAAATTGTAATGAAAAAGAAAATGCAAAAAAGAAAAGAAATAGAATTAGAACGAACCCCATCTTTCTCCAGAATGATTTGCAGAAGACGGGACTGATTCGGTGTGAGGTTCCTCCTACTCTCCTTCCTCTTCATCAACATCACGACTATGATTACCTTCATGGCCGCTGGTAACCCATATGACCGAATTGCCCCTCCAGGGTTCCGAATAGAGGAAACCGCGGAAAAGAACTTGGAACGCAAGATCTGGAAGCCAATGCTCATCCATCCACCTTTCTGGAGGCTAGAATGGAGCGGTGGGGAGAGAGAAGAATATTGACCCCACTTGTCACAATCAGAGGAAGATGGGGTTTGGTGAATTGTTAAGTTGTGGACCGAAAACGGCGGTTGAAGAGGAAGACCGGAAACGGCGGCCGAAACGGCGGTCAAAGAATATTACCGAAAAGGGGTTTTACCGCAGCGACTTCTTGGCCGGTGGTTAGAAGGTGGATCGCGGGTGTCGTGCAGTGAACTCGGTGTTGGTGGAGGTGTTATAAGGCAGTCGCGGTGATGGTGATGAAGACGGTTGGCAATCGGAATCGGGCGGGCATGCAGAATCGGAATCGGAAGCGAGGTTGAGGAAGACAGTTTTTCAGAACAGGGCGCGGCGCGATGGAGTGGTGGAAGAATAACGATGGACTTGTAATTTTTCTACTGTTTGGAAAATAAGGGTTTGGCACATATTACATCGGTGCATTGTAATACCCGATGTAAGGGTTGACAAGCTATTACATCGGTGCATTGTAATACCCGATGTAAGGGTTGGCAAGCTTTTTTTTCTGACTTTTTTTTTACAATGCACCTATTACATCGGTGCATGTAATACACGATGTAAGGGTTGGCAAGCTTTTTTTTCTGACTTTTTTTTTACAATGCACCTATTACATCAGTGCATTGTAATACCCGATGTAATAAGTTGCAAAAAAATTAATTAAATTTTTTATATTAATACCTGTTGTGAAGATATTACATCGGTTTTTAGTCAACCGATGTAATATGTTGCATGTTTTTTATTAATATTTCTACTACCTTGTTTCTTATTTACAAAAATGCCACCGTATTTTTTTCTGAAAACTTTTTACATCGGTGGATGCGTTTGCCCGATGTAATAGGTAGCGAAATATATTTTTTTTCATATTTTTTATATCATTGCAAATAAATACCTGATGTAAAAATTTTGTTAATTGTATTTTTTACATCATATATTTTGATACCCGATGTAAAAACCTTTTCTCAAATGTCTTTTTTTTAGTAGTGTTAAAATTCAATTAGATTTAATTAGGTTTTTTTACTAACATTAATTAATTTTTATTTCTTTCCTAAAATACAAAAAAAACCCAAAAATATTTATTTTTATTAATTTATTTATTTATTTAATTTAGTAATTAATTTAGATTTATTTCTTTCTTAAAAAAAACAACAAAAAAAGATACTTTCTCTCAAAAAGGGTCAAACCCCTATTTGCGCTCGATTTAATTTCTCGCACGCGATTTATTTTCTTTTATATCATAATGTATTTGTTCCCGATTTGTAATAGTTAATAGGACCTTTATTTATTTTTTATCGCTTTATTTATTTTTACAAAGGGTTTGTCTTTGGCGATGTAAATACCCGACGCCTTGTAATTTAAATTCCGCAATTTATTTCCCGCAAAATATAACTGTTAGATGTTTGATAATAGGAATGCATGACAAGACTTAATGTTTTAACCTAAAATCAACTTAGATCACCCTTAACATGTACAAAGATAAAAATAAACTGAAAACGACACACTCACACATGTGCACTCTAAGGGTACACCCCACTTGGTTGCCTTCGTACACGGTCATTGAGTATAGGTCGTTTTAGAGGTCGCCCTCTTGCCTAAAAGATCATAGTCGCCTCGAAACGGTTGCCTCGGATATTGTTGCCTCAAAACAAATGATCTAAGGCATTAGGGTTACCGCTAAGGCGTCCTAGCATTGCTTTAGTGACCGTAAGTCCCTAAATTCAAATTGACCCTTAAACTCCAACGACGATGCTACCTACTCATCAATAGTGGGATAGCATTGTCTAAAGGAAGATAGCATAGAACGATTCCTTTTTCGATTAGGTAGATGGTTCTTAAGTACTTGCTCTTTCAAAAAAACAAAAATATTTTTCACATTTACACTTTTCGAATAAAGTTTTCAAAAACACTTCATACGCTCTTGAGGACAGAAGCAAGACTTAAATCGAAGTTTTCAAAACAAAAACTTTTTCAAACCCACAAGCACAAAGAAAACAATTTTGAAAACAATATGAGCAAGTACCTAAGAGCCCGTGGATAACCACGGATAGAAAGGATGCTAACACCTTCCCTTTCTATAATCTACCCCCCGAACCTGAGAAATATCTCGAAAAAGGAATTTTTCTGTGCTTTTTTCCTTTCCTTGTTGGATAAAATAAAAGTCGGTGGCGACTCTTGCTTACCGCGACATTTTGCAAAAACAAACACAAAACACAAACCAGCATTCCAAAAAAACAGTCAGTTCTTCCCACCGTATCACAGTTTCATTAATGCATTGCATATGTTTGTCTTGAATTAATTCATTTGTTTAAACTATGCTTTTTACTCTCTCTATGACATTCAACTCTTGCTAAAATTTACAAGCCTTTAGACGGAGTATGACGAAAACAATGCCATAATCTCATACAGTATGCTTTTGAACAGACCTTGCTGACGATGTACGGGCATTCTTTCAAATCCTAAACACTGGAGTTATAAGGAAGATAATCCCTAGTCAACCCCTTCGAGCCAAAGAAGCAGAAGTTTTTCTTTTTCACAAAATTGAAACCTTTAATCGAAACCTGGGGCAGGGTAGTCTCTCAGTTAATTCAAACGCGCATTAAGCTGCAAACTCTCATCTCATAATACAATGAATGACGTCAAGAAACATTCCTCTAGAATTAAAAAATGGTGATGGTTCCCTATCACATAGGCAGTCACTATTTTTCTCAAAAAGAAAAAACCCACTAAGTCAAAACCTACGAAGGAGACTTAAAGAAAACTGGGGCATCCCGCTGATCATAAGAACAGTCAGGAAAAATCAGGGATAATAAATCAAAAAGAGGTCACTACAAATCCTCAACAACATGGAAAATGTTGCAAAAAATTGATGACTGCATTCCGACAAACTCAACCTGTCTGAACCATCACCAAAACGTCATTCCAGACTTAATTGGAGTTCAAACGTACAACTAACTGAGCTTAGGACCTAAGAACATCACAAAGAACGGGTGGGTACAAATACACTTTGAGCCTTTATCCTCTGTTTCTTAAACCGTGAACCAAGCCACGTTACAACCTTTCAAAAGTCCTAATTGAAGCATGGGTTAGTTCGAAAGCATACTGTTACAAAAGGTATCCTGACTCCTGTAAGGCTTTACTCAAAATCCAAAGTTGAATCACAAACTTCTTTACTTGCTAAAACGCATTTTCAAAAACTTCAAGACAAACGTAAACTTTGCATTACTTGAATATCACTATTTGCATATGGATATTTGTTTGACAGCGGAGAAATTCACACAATGAATATCCAGTGAACGAAAGCTCTCTCAGTGAACAAAATCGATTCAAGAAGGATGACACTTCCATTGACAAATCTCCTATCAAAAGGGGGACATGACATGTCACTATCCAGCATACCTGGGGCAGTCCAGTCAAGATTCCAAGAAATCTCTCAAGAATTGCAGAGTAACCAGGGGCAAGTCTCCATCTTCGTCACTTGGGGCATTGACCGTCAACCCCGACAAAGGGTTACATGCAATCAAACTTCCAGGCAGTGCCTCAAACACTCGCTATTATGGGCAGTGACAAATCTCCCCAAAGTCCTTCTCATAGGATGATTCCCCATCCAGAGTTTAATCTATGAAAACCTTTCCCCAGCTGGGACAACTTCAAGAATCCTCGAGGACTTCCCTAACAAAGTCGTCAACTCTCTAACAGACCGACAACAGGGTTTATTTCGCAACCAAATAGCAGAAATCCCCAGCTTGAGGTGGCCTCTCCAAATCAAAGGACCACAACTCCTCTTCCCCAGTAGGCTACTCTACAATCCCCAGCAAGTTACGGTGAAACCTGGACCCGACCAGATATCAGTTCAACTTCGACTCCCCAGTAGAGAAACAGACAACCGAGACTCCTGAATTCTTTTCCCAAAGAGGAATAAACATTCTCCCCACAGAGTTTTCAATATCCCCCAACGGAGTTCTCCTCAAACAACGAAACTGGGATCCCCGGTGGAAACATTTTGAGCAAAGTTTGAAGACACACTTATATTTCAACAACATTCATAGCACATGCATACAAAATACATATAACATAAATCTCATTTATTTTGAGAACATCATTATATAATGCATACATCATGACATTGCATACAACTAACTCGTTACCTTTTCAGGAAAGATCAATCGACAGATAAAGGTTATCATCTATTTGAATTAGTAATCGTCCAAGATTCCTTCATCATCCTGCTGAGGTAGTAATCGTCCAAGATTCCTTCATCATCCTGTTGAGGTAGTAATCATCCAATATAGGTAGTAATCATCCAAGATTCCTTCATCATCCTGTTGAGGTAGTAGTCATCCAAGATTCCTTCATCATCCTGATGAGGTAGTAATCGTCCAAGATTCCTTCATCATCCTGCTGAGGTAGTAATCATCCAAGATTCCTTCATCATCCTGCTGAGGTAGTAATCGTCCAAGATTCCTTCATCATCCTGCTGAGGTAGTAATCGTCCAAGATTCTTTCATCATCCTGTTGAGGTAGTAATCATCCAAGATTCATTCATTATCCTACTGAGGTAGTAATCGTCCATAATTCCTTCATCATCCTGCTGAGGTAGTAATCATCCAAGAATCATTCATCATCCTGTTGAGGTAGTAGTCGTCCAAGATTCCTTCATCATCCTGCTGAGGTAGTAGTCGTCCAAGATTCCTTCATCATCCTGCTGAGGTAGTAATCGTCCAAGATTCCTTCATCATCCTGTTGAGGTAGTAATCGTCTAAGATTCCTTCATCGTCCTACTGAGGTAGTAATCGTCCAAGATTCCTTCATCATCCTACTGAGGTAGTAATCGTCCAAGATTCCTTCATCATCCTGCTGAGGTAGTAATCCTCCAAGATTCCTTCATCATCCTGCTGAGGTAGTAATCGTCCAAAATTCCTTCATCATCCTGCTGAGGTAGTAATCGTCTAAGATT